AAAGTGGAGCAAGGAGCCAGGACTTAAACCCAGGACTATAAACTTCATTAGAGAAAAGCTTAGAAGAATCCTAGAAGAACTATTCCACAACTTGAAGAGTCTTCCAAGCATTCTGAAAAACCTACACCCAGGAGAGGATAAACTAGATGAAGGGGACCTTCATAGAATCAAATTCCTATGCACATCCAAAACCTTCTCTAGCAGGGTAAAAAGGGAAGCCACAGACTAGGAAAATAAATATTTAGTAATGAAATGTCTGATAAGGGACTCATATCTAGAATTTATAGAATACTCAAGCAAAACAAAAATATAAAGTTAAACAATCCAACTGCAAAATGCACACAGGAAATGAACAGACACTTCATCAAAGAAGACATTTAGGTGGCAAACACACACACATGAAGAAATGTTCAAAATCCCTAGCTCTAAGAGAGATGCAAATCAAAACAACTATGAGATACCGTCTCACCCCAGTAAGAATAGCAAAAATTTATCACAGCCACATGCAACAAATGGTGGCGAGGTTGTGGAGAGATTGGAACATTTATTTACTGTTGGTGGGAGTATAAAATGTTGTAACTACTATGGAAGGCAGTATGGGCTTTCTCAAAAAGTGGGAAACAAATACCCTATGACCCAGCAATTCCACTACTGGTAATATATCCTAAAGAAACCATAACTGCCACCCAAGCAGATATATGCACACTCATGTTTATTGCTGGTTTGAACAAAGCAGCAAACAGTTGGAAAAAGCCCTAATGCCCATCAACAAACAAATGGATAGAGAAGCTGTGGTATATTCACACAACGGAATATTACACAGCACTGAAAAACAAAGAACTCATGAAATACTATGCAAAATGGGTGACCTTGGAGGACATTATGCTGATTGGAATATCTCAGTCAGAAAAAGACAAAGACTATATAATATCATTGTTATAAAACAGGACTGATATGGGGGTTGAGGGAAAACTAAGAAAAGAGGGGATAAATAATGTAAACAGCATTGAAACATGAGGGACAGAACTGTATAAAAGGTATGTATGATTAGGCATTATTGGCATGAGAAGAGTTAAGAGTAAGAGTTGCATTGTAAAGTGGTCTGATAGGGTGGGGACAATGAAAGAATTTTTTTTCCAAAGAAAAAAGCAAACTGGGGAGGAGGGGGAACAGGGAAGAAAATGTGTAACAATGAATGAATGGAAATTTTTTAAAAAATCCAAAAAAGATTAAAAGAGTATGTTTAAATTGGTTAATAGTAAATAGAGTATACATTTTCTTTAAAAAATTAGATCCTAAATCTTAAAAATATTTTAAGGAAAAATGTCTCAGTAAATTTTGAGGCCTGTCTTTTATTCCTACCTACTGTATTTATAGGCAGAAGTTAAGGAGTATTCAAAGGAAATGTAATAAAATTAGGCAAAATAAATTTTATTAAATCCTTGTGGTTTTAATCAAAATTTTTGCTATTATTTCTTTATATTTAAAAAAAATACACAGGATAAAAAAATTTGAAACTAGATATTCTATCAAATTTCCAAGATTAAATCACTCATAAATTAAAAAATAAATTTCCACTGTCTCAATTTTTAAAATTTTATTATTCATTTTAATGAAAACTTACAGAGATGTTGGATTTCCATTCACTCATTGTTGCACTTTTCTCCTTGCCTACCCCTCCCCGCCCCCAGTACACTCTTGTCTTTGAAAAAGAAAAGAAAAATTCTTTCATTGTTTTATATTCCCCTCCTCCAGATCCACTCCACTACGCAGCCTTCATTCTGGACTCCTGTCATGACAATAATACCTAATCACATACCCCTTTTAAACAGTTTTCTCACTCATCTGTTTCAATGTAGTATACATTATTTTCATTTTTACCATCTACAATGTTGCTTACTTACTTGGAAATGATCCCATACATTTAAAGGGCATATACCAGGGATGTGTCCTATCTCCATACCTTTTCAATCTATATGCAGAACAGATCGCCTGGGAAGATGGGCTCTAGGAAGAGGAATTTGGCATCAGGATTGGAGAAAGAATCAACAGCAACCTAAGTTATGCTGATGACACAATCCTGCTTGCTGAAACTGAGGAGGATCTGAAGTGCTTGCTGCTGGAAGTCAAGGACTGCAGCCTTCAATATGGACTGAAGCTCAACATCAAGAAAACAAAGACAGGGCTGATGGGCAGCATCATGATAGATGGTAAAGAGATTGAGATTGTTAACAGCTTTAGTTTGGTTGGCTCCACAAACAACACACTTGGTGCCAGCAGATAGTAAATCAAAAGACGAACTGCAATGGACAAGTCTGCTTTCAGGGATCTCTCTAGTCCTGAAGAGTAACGACGTTAGTCTGGAGACCAAAGTGTGTGTGATGCAGGCCATGGTCTTTGCAATTACTTGTTATGTGTCAGAAAGCTGGACAATGACTAGGGATGACAGAAAGAGGATTGATGCCTTTGAGCTGTGGTGCTGGAGAAGAGTACTGAAAATACCATGGACTACCAGGAAAACAAACAGATTGATCCTATAGAGAATCAAACCAGGCTGCTCCTTGGAGGCAAGGATTCTGAGGTTTCATCTGACATACTTTGGGCATGTTGTAAGGAGGGACCAGTTCTTGGAGAGGGACATCATGCTTGGCAGGGTGGAGGAAAGTGCAAGAGAAAGACCCTCGACGAGATGGATTGATACAATGACTGGGATAATGGAGGTAGATGTGTCAGAGACAATAAGGTTAGCACAAGATAGATCAGGTTTCAGGGCTATTGTACATACAGGGTCACTATGAGTTGCAAGCAATTCAATGGCACATAAACAACAACAACAACAACAACAACAACAACTTAAAGGACACAATAAGTAAAAATGTGTGGGACAGTGTCATTGAAAGAGATGAAGGCCCTCAATTAGATGGACTGACACAAGTGGTTGTAACAAAGGGCTGTAGGACATCTCTAACCATGACGACAGCACAGGACCAGGCAGTGCTTTGCTTTGGTATACATAAAGCTGCTAAGATTTGGAGCTGACTTGTCAGCACCTGCAACAGGAATAAGTAAGAAGTTCAAACCTGACTCAGCAGAGAATGTAAAACAAGAGATTGTAATGCTAAAATCAGATGGATCTCAGCAAAAAGCAGAGAATACCAGAGAGATGCTGACTTGTGTTTTACTGACAAGCTGCAAAGGCAACTGACTATGTGGGCCATACCAAGTGACAGAGAATTCTGTAAAGAGTGAGAATTCCAGTTACTTGATGGTGCTCATGTGGAACCTGTATATAGACTAAGAGTAAGATCTCCAAAAACAATAAGGGAATGATGTGGTTTAAAATCAAGAAAGGTGTGCATGAAGATTGTCTCCTTTCACTACCCTTATCCAATCTGTACATTGGTAAAGCCCAATAAATTGGGCTAAAGGAAAAATATGGCATCGAGATTAGAGAAAAACTCATTAATAAACTGTGAAATGTAGATGGTACAATTTTGCTTGCTAAATGTGAAGAGGATTTGAAACACTTAGTGATGAAGGTTAAGGACTACATTTTTCAGTATTTATTATACCTCAATATAAAGAAAATAAAAATCCTCACATGGATAGACAGAAATTAGTGAAGCTTTTTATTTTACTTGGATATTTAATTAGCATCCACAGATATTGCTGTCAAGAAATAAAATGATATACTTTGTATGAGGTAAATCTTTTGTCAAGGATGCCTTTAATTTATTAAAAAGTAAAAATGTCACAATGAGTAATAAGGTATGCTGGACTGAAGCCATAATATTTTTTTATTCCCTATAAGCTTGCAAAATGGGAAAACAGATAAATGCTTATGTCTTTGAATCATGTAGCTGGCAAAGCACATGAATTATATCACAGGTTTAAAGAACAAACAAATCTGCTTTTGAAAAAGTGTATGTTGAATGCCCTTCAGAAGCAAACTTGGAGAGGACCTCTTCCTACATACTTAAGACACAGCAGGAGGGACCAGTATTTGCAGAAGGTCACCACGCTTAGTAAAGTAAAAAGAGCAGACATAAAAGGAAGACCTTCCACAAAATGGACTGACACCAACTCTATTTTGACTCACAATGACAATGCAGCACAGAGCAGCAATACCCAGAGTCACCAAGGCTGTATGTACTTAGGGAAGCAGACTGGCATATCTTCTGGCTGTTCAATCACTGTAACACCATGATTGCACCACACTGTATGTATACTACATAGATAGTAAGAAATACTTTTGAAAATGGCTTTGATATTCATTGTTGTTGAGTCAGAACTAACCAACAGCTGATAATCCAGCATGTTTTATTTTTTTTTCTATAATTATATTTTATTAATTTTCATAAACATTTACAGAGATTTTGGGCTTCCACTCATTCACTGTTGCACTATTCTCTCTACCCTCCTCCCAGTTTGTTCTTGTCCAAATGCCACAGTGCTTGTCAAAGCCAGTTCTGATTAATCTTCTTTGTCAGTGTATCCTTTGCCATTCCCTATCACTCCTCCCTGAGAGTCCAGCATGTTTTAAAAGATGTAAATAACATGAGAAGAGATTGCTCTTTTCTCTTAGGAGGAGCCACTGCTAGACCTGAGTCATGAGAGAGGAGTGGCTTCTGGGTAAGCATTGTGATTTCCTAAGGCTCCACCACCAGTAATTATTCCTAGCCTTTCTATTATCAGCTATTTAAACTTGAATTTTTGTGTATTACACTTTATTCAGCCAATAACAATTTTTCAGTATATAACTGAGAAATAAAAAAATGACTAAGTTTAATGTAGCAAAATCCTATGAAAAATTTAATGCATGTATTCATCTATATAAAATGAGCAACAGAAATATATCATTACATATAAAAACAAAACCACACTTAAAAATGTATAATATGTAAAAAATACAAATAACAAAATAAGCTGTGTAATTAACCGGACATTGTTATTTTTAATCTATCCATAAAATGATCATATAGATGGGAAAAGGTCCTTACCTGGTTTTGGCACAGAATTGGTCACTGACTGGGGAACTTTCTGGTTAATTAACTCCACACAGTGTCCAGGGAAGAGTCCCACCTATAAAGGCAAAGAAGGAAAGCATCTAAAGGAGAGAAGGGACTCACAGGAGAACACTGTGAAGTGAATTCCAGTAACAAATGACACAGCCCCTCCCAGATGATTCTATCAATCTGTGATGCTAAATAACATAGCATGCCAATTACACAAACATACAAAAACAAGCTGTTGCTAAGCCTACAGAGTTGTGTGCTTTATTTGTGCAAATATCTTTTTTGGATTCATAATGTTCCAAGCTTTTTAAATACTTACTAAAACAATCTGATAAAGTAGACATGCAGGAGACAGAATTTTTACCACTTACAATTTACTATAGTGATATCAATTTAGTCTGTTTATTATCTTCTCGATAATTGTGATAAATTAGTATTAAATCATAATGCTCTTTTGCAAGTTTTACTTTCCTATCTGTTACATGAAAACTGATTAGGAATCCCATTCAATTTGTTAAACAAGCAGTAACAGCACAGTCTAGTTAGTCATGTTGTGAACAAAAAAGTGTGGGGTAGGAGGAAGCAAGAGTCTATAGTCTCTATAGTGGCAACAGACTCTATATCTTGGAAACACACCCCCTTGACCTTGTAGCTGCATCGCTGGAGGCTTCAGAGAGAATCCTAAGAAGTCATCTTAACTGAGGACCTGAATGCCAGATAATCCAGCAATTCTGCAGGTTAGGGACCACAGTCAACTGAACCAATACAGAACTAAACATCCTGGAAACAAAAGTAAAAGCAAATCTTTACCAATATTTATAGATGTTTCCTGAGACAGGAATATAAATGGGCTGCTATGCAGGAGATGTTAAAGCCAAAACATGAAAATGGTATGAGTTTGTGTATCCCTTTGTTGATAAACTCTGAGGAAAAATGGGATGGTCTTCCAAGAACTTCATCATAAAGTTCTGAGCTGTATAATTTCCATCTGTTTGAGGTTATTTTCACATACTCATTTGCTATACTCTTATTTCAATTTCTGGATCAGTGTTTTAGAGTAGTTTCTGAATTATGAATATATAAGTAGTCAGTAGGAATATTTAGGATTCTTAAAGTCTTTGTGCACTGCCTTTCAAAATGAGGCTTTAATGGTAAGATTCTAGAACATGTTCTACTCAATGCAGAATATGAAAATTGTTTCTTAATATATCAAAATCAGCTAAGATTCAACTTGAAAAACCATACCAATTGACATATTTCAACAAAAAGACCCTGCCCTGGATGTACTCACTAAGTTGTGCCAAGAAATCTGGTGGACAGCCATGTGGCCAACTGACTAGAAAATACTGATATGTGTTCCCATTCCAAAACAAGGTGACTGAACAGAGTGTGGAAATTATTGAACAATATCATTAATATCCCATGCAAGGATGATTCTGCTGAAAATTATCTAAAAATGATTGGAGCAGTATGTCAAGAGAGAATTGCAAGATGTGCAGGCTGGATTTAGAAGAGGTTGTGGTAGTGGGAATATTACAGCTAATGTTAGATGGACCTTGGCAGAAAGCAGAGAAAACCAGAAGAACGTCTCTTTTTGCTTCATTGACTATGCAAAGGGTTTTCACTGTGTGGATCACAACAAGTTATGGCTGACTCTGAGAAGAATGGGAATCCCAGAACATTTGATTGTGCTTATGAGATACCTTCTATCCTCCCTAGTCATTGTCCAACCTTCCGATGCATAACAAGTGATTACAAAGACCATGGCCTGTATCAGGCGCACCTTAGTCTCCAGAGAGACACCGTTGCTCTTGAGTACTTTAGAGAGGTAACTAACAGCAGACTTTCCCATCACAATACATTTTTTTATTTCCTGGCTGCTGGTGCCAAGAGTGTTGACTGTGGAGCCAAGCAAACTGAAGCTGTGAACAATCTCAAGCTCTTCGCCATCCATCCTGATGCTACCAACTGGTCCAGTGGTGAGAATCTTTGTCTTCTTAACATTGAGCCTTAGTCCATACTGAAGGCTGCAGGCCTTCACCCTCTGCAGCAAGTGAATGAGGTCCTCCTCAGTTTCAGCAAGCAGGGTTGTGTCATCTGCATAACGCAGATTGTTAATAGATCTTCCACCAGTCATGACGCCACACTTCTCCTCATAGAACCCAGCCTCTCAGATAATGTGCTCTGCATACAGGTTGAAATGACTAGGGAGGATAGAAGGAAAGTTCGATTTGAAAGCCTTTCAGCTGTGGTGGTGGAGAAGAGTAGTGAATGTACCATGGACTGCCAAGAAAACAAACAGATTCATCCTGCAGAGGGTTAAGCCAGGCTACTCTTTGGAAGCAAAAATTCTGGGGCTTCTTCTGACATACTTTGGACATGTTGTAAGGAGAGACAGGTCCTTGGACAGGGACATCATGCTTGGTAGGGTGGAGGGAGAGCACAGGAGGGGAAGACCCTCTATGAGGTGGATTGATTCAGTGACTGGGGTAATTGGGATGGGTGTGTCAGAGGCAGTGCGATTGGCACAAGATAGAGCAGGGTTTAGGGCTGTTGTACACAGGGTCGCTATGAGTCACAAATGACTCGACGGCACATAACAACAACAACATGAGAAACCTATACTTAGACCAAGAAGCAGTCATCAGAACAGAGCAAAGACATAGTCCAAAATCAAGAGATGTATTTTATCTCTATACCTTTTCAATCAGTATGTAGAAAAGAGTATCCAGAGTGCTTGGCTGTACGAGGAGGAATGTGGCATCAGGATTGGTGGAAGAGTCATAAACAACTTGTGTTATGCAGATGACACAACTCTGCTTGCTGAAACTCAGGAGGACCTTAAGTGCTTGCTGCAGAAGGTTAAGGACTGCAGCCTTCAATACGGATTGAAGCTTAACATCAAGAAAACAAAGATTCCCACAAGGGCCAATTGGCAGCATCAGTATGAATGGTGAAGAGATTAAATAGTTAACAGTTTTCATTTACTTGGTTCCACAGTCAACACTCTTGGTAATAGCAGCCAGGAAATCAAGAGATGAATCGCATTGGGAAAGTCAGCTGTGAGGGACCTCTCAAGAGTATTGAAGAGCAATGATATCAGGCTGGAGACTAAGGTGCACCTGATCCTGGCTATAGTCTTCGCAATTACGTGCTATGCATTGGAGAGTTGGACAGTGACTAGAGATGACAGAGAATTGATGCCTTTGAGCTGTGGTGCTGGAGAAGAGTGTTGAGTATACTGTGGACCGCTAGGAGAACAAACAGTTTGTCCTGGAGAGGTTGAAGCTTGAATATCCCATGGACTGCTGAGAAAACAAATGGCTCCGTCCTGAAGAGGGTGAAACCAAGTTTCTCCTTGGAGGCTAGGGTTTTGAAGCTCCCTTTCACATATTTTGGGCATGTGGCCAGGAGAGACCTGTTCTTGGAGAAGGACATCATGTTTGGAAGGGTAGAGGGACAGCACAAGAGAGGAAGACCCCAGATGAGATGGAAGGATGGACTAACTGGGGTAATGGGGGTTGATGTGTCAGAATTAGCTGGATCAGTACAGGACAGGGTTTACAGCTGCTGTATTTAGGGTCACTATGGATTGACTTAACAGAACCTAACAACAATCAACAACACTCATAATATTAGAAAATCTAGAAGGCTCTACTCTTCCTATCAGCTAGTTATTACACTTACCATCTTTTCCTTGTGTGTGCTTAATTTTCTTCATTCTCAAATAATATCAGACGTCCCATTAAATTCTCATTCATTTCTATATATATAAACATTTTCTTGATCTATTGTTGATATTTCCTATTTCCACCTGGTCCTGGCACAATCCCTCCAAAAGGGAGGGTGACTAGGAAAAAAAGGTTCATTCTGACCAGGTGGTATACCATTAACGTTCACAAGTATGTCCAGGACATAGCTAAGGTACTAAGGAAGGACCCTATCATAGCAGGTGAGGTTTTCCAAAACACATAATGAGCATGTTTGTTGTTGCTGTGTGCCATGAAATCACAAGTGACTCGCGGCTGAGCATCCAGAGAATTTTAGAGGTTATAAACCTCCCAAGAGGACATAGTCCATCTTTCCCTTGAGAAGCAGCTGGCAAATTCAAAGTGCCTAACTCTGACTTGGCAGTGTACCAAACAAGAGTTATTATACACTATGTATCTGTTAAAAATGTCAAAAACCTAGAACAGTCAATGTGGATGAAAATGAACAGATCACTATCTAGAGTCATAAAACAGCAACAGAAAACAAATTGCTTAACATCTTTGATTCAATTTATTTGTCAAAATAGGGATATTATTAATATATCAAGACTGTTTATTAAAGTATCTAGTCCACTTTCTAAATTCTACTATCTTTTCAAAGAATAAATTTTTGTCACTTCACTAAAAAGCTGAAACAGGCTTCCCCCACCCCAGTCTGTGACCCCGCTGCCAGCTCCGAACTCCGGGACTGGCAAAGTTGGGCGCCGCGTAGACGGAGTGGACAGAGGGAGTGGATTCAAACTGGGGCCACCCCTGCACCTTTGACCGACGTCTCCAGGTACCACATCGCTTCCCCCGCCCCAGTCTGTGACACTGCCACCAGCTCTGAACTTTGGGGCCATCGGAGACTTAAAGAAAACAAAAACAAAAACAAAAACAAAAAAACCCACACAAAAGAACAAAAACACAAAGACCAAATTTATAGCATTTTTCAACCTCACTTGACAAAGTTTCCAATATTGAGGATTTAGTTTCTTTTGACTACAAACTGCTGTTTGGCCCTACCACATTGGTCCCACCAACTTAAGCAAAAGGGAGGTACTGGACATCTCGATAGAGAAGTAGTGACATCAAACCAAAAACCAACTATCACCTTAGTTTTCAAAAACTCTTCCACTTAAATGTCTCGAAAGAAGCAGGGTACCTCACTCACCACACAAGCCCAAAACAAGATATCTACGCCCCAAAATGACACAGTAGCAATGGATTTCATGAAGCCAGAAAGTCTGATTGAATTTTCTGATGCAGAATTGGGAAAAAAAAGATGACTGAATGTTTTCAATGGATGAAAAACAAA